TTTGGAAATATTTCTAATAATAATAGAGTCCTTTTGGGTTTCCCTTAAGACCCATTTGAGCAATTAAAAGACAAAAAGAATTAAGAAGAAATTAGTTTAGTAATTTTTCATGATTTGATAAATTAAATAGAAGCTAATTTGTAATTAATTAGAAGTTAATTAATTATAGGAACCGGATGCTAATTAATTAAAATGTTTAATTAATAGAAACATTCAAGGAGGTGAATTTATCAAAAAGGCGGTTGATGTGACATTAAGCAACTAAGATCCTATAAATATGGAGATAGGTATCAAACCCTAATACACATTCCCTTGTGTTAAAATTGGCCCCTTTCCCTCTCTCTCAAACCCGGCGAACCCAAACCCTACTATGAGGTTTGTGGTTTGCGATTTTATCTCCCCTCTCCAATGGTTTTGTTGTTTTTCTCTTTAGGTGTTCTTGGACGTGATACCTTTAAATGAATTCTACTATGGGTTCTTACATTCATGCAAATGTGGCAAGAACTCAATCTCAAACAAGGAGATATCTAGCTGCAAAAGAGATATGTATTTTTCTTTTTCATCTTGTAGTTGCAATAGAGTGAACTGTATGATCTTTATTGGTTGAATGAACACATAGGAAAATTGTTATATGCATTTGCTGCTTATGAACATGTGTTAGTATGCCTAAAACCTTTAAAAAAATTATGGTTTTATTGAAGAGAATGCAGAAGTAATTTCAAGACATTTTACATGTATTTTTGCTAAAATGTTGAACTTTTTTAAATTAATTTGGTAGGTGTGTTCTAATGATCTTCATTGTGGTTAACGATTCTTGCTTACAGTTAAATTAAGGAAGGTCGAGCATTATGTTAGTGCTTTTAATGGAGTTGCAAGTTTCTTTTGTATAATGAAGTTGAATTTTAGTGGAAACTTTGACTTTGACTTTAACTTGCTATTTGTTGTGGTGGTGGTGATGCAATTTGATGGAGAATGCAAGTATATGTAATAATGTTGTAACACCTAGATTTCAGGTATTCGTTTTAACCCTTGAGTTATGTTTAATTTGCAAGTTTAGTCCCTGATGGCAATTTTGTAAATTCAAAGACCTTTGGAGTACGCAGAGCATACACCATCGTACGCAGGGGTACTCCGGAGCGCCTTAGAACGATGAGCGTACGCTCGTACGCAGCCTGAGTGAAAACCCTAATTTTTAGAGTTTGGACCATATTTAAACTCATTTATGGCCTCAAGCACCTTATTACCTTCAGCCTTCCTCCTTATCTCGAAAACCCTAAGAGTGTTTGTGTTTTGTGAAGCTTGTTGGGCCATTTTGGTGCCTTTTTGGAGCTCTTGGAGTAGAAGGAAGAACCTTGAAGTGGTGGTGTTGCACTCAAGGTTTTGGATCCAACATTTAGTCCCCGTTATGCACCTTGTGGAGGTAAAACTTTCAAACTTGATGATAGAATCTCTTGGATCTAGTTTTACTAAAGTTGATTCCTTTTTGGTCCCAAACTTAGCCTTTGTGAGTAGGAGGTACTACAAGGCATTTGAGTTGTCCTTTCAGAGGCTTTTAGGGGTGTTAAGTCATAAAGTTGGGTTCTTGGTCACTAGTTTTCCCCCATGCAAGTGATAGATGGTCTTAAGGAGTTAAGAGGCTAGGGTTTTTGGTTTTAAAGACTTAATAGCCATGTTAGGCCATAAATTTGGAAACTTTATGGCTTAGGAAATCTTATGTGACCTAGATATGAAGTTTGGACGTGGGTGCTTAAGGGATTAAGCACTTAGTTAAGAGGTTGGCAAGCAGCCTCGTATGCAGGGCGTACCGTAGGGTACGCTGAGCGTACGAGGTCAGTTCCCCGTTATTCGGTCAACTGCGAGGTACACCCTGCATACACGAGGAGTACACCCCGCATATTGACCGAGTCAGCCCGATTGACTTTGACCTGGTTTTTGACTAAGGTTTGACCTAGGGGTATTTTAGGTATTTGAATGGTATTTCGAGTTTTGGTGGCTTTTAATTGTAAAGGTGATCGGTAGTGTGGGTTTCGGAGAAGCGTGTCAGTTCAAATTTTCGTCTGTCTGTGAGGTGAGTCCTCTTACCACCTTAAGTGGGCTGAAGGCACCAAGGCCGACCCAATGTATTGTATGAGTAGAACTATATGTTATCGTATGATTCTGTCTGTTGTGCTTGTATGATTTATGTATTGAGCTATATGGGCTCAAAGTCCTTATGACCCGGGGTTAATACGGACTCGGGGGTTGATTTGAAACTAACACAACTATATGCTGTATTTTTCGGTTGATACGGACCCGAGGGTTGATGCAGACCCGATACAATCATGTATTGTTATTTGATATGTATGTTGTATGTGGTAATTTGGGAAGCTCACTAATCTTTATTCTTATAGTTTATGTATATGGTTTCGGGTACTTCCAGTTCCAAAGGGAAGGGCACGTCGTGATGGCACAACATCCTCCCCACATGTTTTCCGCACTTGATGTATTTGTACTCTGATGTTTAGCAATATTGTAATGAATGATGGCTTTTGATACAATCAATGAATGAAAACTAATGGTTTTTAAATGAAAATTTTTAGTATTGTTTTTGGGTCGTTACAAATGTGACAATTAACATATTATTATTAACATTTGGCACGCTAGATGATAGACGTTGGGTGGAAGAAGGTTATGGAAGGCGGATGATAGTGGTGGCGGTGGTGAGAGTTAGTTCACAAAAAGATGGACGGTGGTCTTGGATTAAACAGGAATATGATTTTATTAAATATTAACAATAATAATAGTAAATTTAATATTAATAAAAAATTAATTTTAAAAAATCTATGTGGAGGTCATGTCAGTGCCACATAGGCAAGTGCTAGTGACTCAAATATAATGTGACATGCCACATAAGCAGGGTAACCGAAGGACCCTTTCACTTGTTTCATAAAGGGCTTAATTGACATTGGTTTTACAAATTTAGTGATCTATTGTGCAAAAAAGTAGTGACCAAATCGGGAAAAAAAGTTTATTGTGTGCTACAACATCATTTTCCTATATATAAATATATATACAAATTTATATAAATGGTCCTTGTGGTTTCTCATATTCATAAATTCCATCCCTAACTTTTTTCGTTGCACTGATGGTCCTTGTGATTTTAATTTCTGTGTGGTTGGCCCCTGACCCATGTAAAGTTACTCTTTTACCCTCTCCATTTTCTTTTATAGTTTTTCTTTAACTATTTTTAAGTAAATAAATAACAAAATAAAAGAAACCTTTTTAAACCTCCCCCCCCCCCTCCAAGAACAAAATTACCCCAATCCCACCTTTGTTTTCTGTCGATGCCTTAGGGGTGTTTAAGATTGCTTTTCCAAACAACTTATTGATCACTTATTGGTTTTTGAAAAGCTAATAAATCAAAAAAATGTTAGCACTTTTCAAATCCATTAGCTTTAAAAACCTTCAAAAAGAGATGAGAAAAACATATAAAACCTCATTTTTAGAAACTTCTTTTACCTTTTTAACCGTAATAGCTTCAAAAAAGAGATTTTAAGCCAAAAACTCTTTTATCTTATTGACATTGGTCACTACAAAAGCTAATCTAAACACTTTTTTAAAAACTCATTTTATCACCAACATAAGTCAATATACACTTTCGCACAAAAGCACTTTTGGAATTTAAAGCAATCCCAAACACCCCCTTAAATCCAACGCCTTTCAAGAAACGAGTGTTATCCTTCCATTTAATTGATGTATGATGACATAGGGTTAGAGTTCTCACAAAACCTTTTGTGTAAATAAAGGGATGAAGAAGACACTTTGAAGAAGACACAAATATCATGTTGGGTAATCTTGACATAGCTAGGTTATTTGGAGAATAATGTACCTTAGTTGCCACTTTTAGGAGAATAATGTACCTTAGTTGCCACTTTTATAGGGAGCACATCACTTGCAACCTTTGGTTTTTTATTTGGTTCTTTAGCTATAAATAGCACACCTTGTAGTCTATTTTGATGTGGGGAATAACAACATAAAATTTCTCATCTCCTCTATTTTCTTCTTTTCTGTCGTGTACAGTAGTAAAATTGTACCAGTTTGTTTCTTTCTTTCATATGTGTTCACAGGTTGAAGAGGGGCTAAACCTATATGCCTTACAAAGTTTATAGGGTTGGTCGATTCAGTTCTTAAAGTTATTTTCTGGCTTTATAGGTGTATAAGGTTGGTTACGACCTGATCTTTTAGTCCCTTTCAACATTTAATAGCTGGTACACCATACGCCAATGGCCATTTGACAAAAAACTCACATTATTCCCCTATAATGCCAAAAAAATAAGTTTGGTGATCATTTAAACCAAAACTCACGAAATTGACTTCAATCGACACTTTCATCCTCGATGGGAAAACTAACTCACCTGAAAGGAAGCAATACTCATCGGTGAGTTGGTTTTCCCATTGAAGACGGAAGTGTCAATTGAAGTCGATTTCATGAGTTTTGGTTTAAATGATCTCCGAACTTATTTTTTTTGGTTTTATAGGGGCATAATATGATGGTTTTTTTTGTCTAAATTATCACTGTCGCATGGTGTATCGGGTATTAAAGGTTGAAAAGGACTAAAAAACAGGTCGGAACCTACCTTATATCCCATAAAGCCAACAAATAATTTTAAGGACTAAATAGACCAACCCTAAAAATTTTAGAGGGCATTTGTGTCATTTTCCAATCACAATAAATAGAAGGTGCAATCCAGGATCCCATCTGTTTGCATGAAACTCATATTTTGTTCGGCATATATAGAAAAAACATTTTATATAGGCTTTTACATATCAAAATTGAGTTTAATTAAAGATGTGAAAGAGATTTATAAAAGTAGCACATATTACTTGTCAAAGTAGAGGACTTCTGGCTTCCTACACACCAACTATAAATACATCAATGACACACCTTAGACTCAAGAAACTACAATCTCTAATTAAGTAGCACCTTAGAGTTCTGGAGTTGCATAAAAACGAAGAAGGCTATGGCTCTTCATGTTCTAGGTTTTCTTGTGGTTCTTGGTTTCATCCACTCTCAAGCAGCGTTGGTTCCAAAAACTTATGACTATGAGGTATATATTCTTACATTTCTTTTTTCATGATATGAATTTTTATTTCAATTTTGCGAAAAACATTTCTTTTATGGAGTTATTTTAGTTTTTTACCTAGTTTCTGCAAGCAAAAGGAAAACAAACTAGAAAATTAATAGTAAGCTAAATTTAAGCGTTATTTTTTTTATATATTGTTTGTGATTAATTATTAATTTCCCCTTAAAAAATTAGTCGGGGATTCTAGACCCTAAGTACATTTTTTTTGAATCATCACCTAATTTGATTTCACATATACCACAGTTTAGAAGAGTTTTTGACAATTTAAACTATATATTTTACATATATGTTTCCTTTTAAAAAAAAATTATCATTCTAATAATATCTTGTATTCACAAGATTGTGTATATGGATATGTCCGTCTTACTGAGACGTGTAATTTTGCCCACAACAAAATTATATTCGACCTTTTGGGGGTAGGAATAATAGAAATATCTGCTCGATCGCACTGATTAAATTAAAGAAACTAGGATGAAAGTTCTCGTTAGCTAGTTTGCTCTTTTAAGTCATTTTTTTTAAATTGTATTCGATAGTTCATCAATTATTTTCATCATATCGCTAGGTAGATTTCAACCGGGTATAAAATGATACTGAACTCTAAGTGTTGTCCGTTGTGGCATTCAATATGACGGAATTTGTTTATTTAAGTATAAGTAGCATTGATATTATCATCCAATATAATAGTAGAATTATCCGATAAAATGCATTCTAATGGTGCAATGAGAAAAAAAAAATAATAATAATAAAAATAAAATAAAATAATAATGACATTAATACAATTATAATGACTTAAGCATCAAATTATACATGTAATATTGGTTGTTATTTTATCATCTTAGCCCATTTATTTATTATCATATTATCTTTTTACTACGAACAACAACAATTTGTTATTTACAAATTACACGTCAAAAAAGATTATATATATATATATATATATATATATATATATATATATATATATATATATATATATATATATATATATATTCAAAATATAACAGTGTATAGTGGAATTTTGACTATATATTGATAGGGCTCGTTGTTTATACGAATCAAAATCATAATTTGACAATGAAAGAAATGAAGAAAAGTATAGATTCTAGATGAGTGTCCTGTTTGGTCTTAAATATAAAACTTGAAAAGGATGGAGAAAAAGTTATTCTTTCATAAGATGGACATCACCCATCCTGTTGATACATGCCGTCGAAAATCGAAACACGTTTAACAATAAAGTTCTTTCATTATCTGTTATAATGATTACACACCGGCTCTTTTTAGTAAGAAGTCTCACCATTAATAAATAATAAAAGGTATATATTAATAAAAGGTGATATATATAGGACCTTGAAATCTTACCAAACAGTATTTGAGTGATGGATAAAGCCCACAAATATAATCACGAGGCCTTTTTTTCTAGTTGAAGTCTTGAAAAGAGATCTGTGGAATATTTAGTGTTTGCCCCAATATAGAGAAGAGCCCAGATCTTTCTACAGAAAAGCATATAGGTGGATCTCACATAACTAGGGTGTATATGAAAGAGTTTCCCTTTTAGGTATAGGTTGATATCTGAATTAAATAAAGAAAAGGTTTTTAAGATTGATCTTGTAACTAGGGTTGGGAGTTATTTTGAATGTTCTGGTTAGATGTCTACTGTCTACGTGGACATCTGACGTTATCTAAATCTTGGGTTGCATTCCAGGTTAAAGAAGCTAACTTCACAAGGCTATGCAAGAACAAGACAATCTTAACTGTTAATGGAGAATTCCCTGGTCCGACTATTTATGCTCGTAGAGGAGACACCGTGGTTGTTAATGTTTACAACAGAGGCAACCTTGGCATCACCATTCATTGGTACATATATTTCACTTCTTCTCTTTCTCATTTATGCAGAGAATACTACTGTTTAATTTGTAAAAGACGCAAGAAACTATTTGCCTGCTCATATTTATAATAACAAATTGAAGTTCTATATATTTTGGACATATTTAGTTAATTAAACAAATAATAAGTTAAGATATATATGTATAACATACGAACCAAATGAACTAAAATTGCATTCTTGGTAAGAGTGTTGGGTATGGGCAACGCGCCAAGGGGCGTTATTGGGCGTTATAACACGTGAACACCGCCCCCTTTCCCCGTTATTAGGCGTTATACGTCTGTGCGTTGCTTCCCGTTACCACCACCACTTCCATTAACGCCGTTTCTCTTCTTTTTCTTAATAACGCCGGTGTGGGCGTTGCCCATACCTACCAGTCTTAAGAAAATTGAGAATTTATATAAATATCTTACTACATATATATTTATGTTAAATCCTATGTGAAAAGCGATAGCCTGAAAAATCACCAGTCTTAAGAAAATTGAGAATTTATATAAATATCTTACTACATATATATTTATGTTAAATCCTATGTGAAAAGCGATAGCCTGAAAAATCAAATTAATCTGAAGTCAAACTAATTGGTGACGATAAATATCAGCCATATTCACTTGTGTGGGTTGCTTGCTGCTAGACATCCCAAGACATTTTTGGGAGGGCCGACTATGTAGTTGCATCTACCGTTATAGGAGCTTTCATACTTCTTTGTCATTGATGTCTTTCTCAATTAATTCATAACTAATATTTCAAAATATTCCAACGATATATATATATCGACGAAATCTTTTTTTCTTTTTTTAGATTAATATCTTTGAAGAAAAGATCTATTTCGATAATGCATAACTAATACATCATGTGTATCTCTATTTGAATATAACATAACATGTACATTTAAAAATAAAATAAAATATTAATTACGTTAATTCTTTTGGAATATATATATATATATATGACGGAGTGATATTGATTGTAAGAAAGGTACTTATGCAATTACTTTCTGGACTTTTCGCCATCCCTTGATTGGTTACTACTTTGAAAATGGAAAGTGTATGTGTGTAACACGTCTCATTAGAAATTGAATTTGAATATTTTTCTAAATAAATAAAATAAAATAAAAATTCATCATTAGAAATTAAATTTGAATATTAATTTTTATCTATTTTATGATGGCTGTCAGATTAAATTTATTTCTAATCTTTTATAGTTTTATATATTTACCATTTGTACAAAAAAATTATTCCATGCATGCATCCATCTTAGCATGGACGGCCCAGAGTAGATGCGGGAGGTGCAATCGCACATAGCCCCAAAAAAATATAGGGTCTCGCTTTTTAACGAAATTATGTACTTAATGTAGAATATATATTATTCTATGTAAAACTTAAAATAAATGTTTGCTTGTATTGATGGCAAGGAAGCGCAACTTGAATATTTTTCTGTTTCTGTGTTCGAGCCTTACCCCGCACAAACCTTTTTACAGCAAGAGAAATCAAATATTATCTTACTTAAGATATTTATCATATTTAATAAAAATTAATAATTTTTATTATAGTTGTCATCGTTTAAAAATAGGTCATAAGTAGAAAGATATTTATTTTTAATAGTTTATATACTATTCCTAATTTGCTTGTCTAGTTACATTAATTGTCCGTAGATTATTGACATTTTTAAAAAAAAAAAAGTTATCCATACAGAACAATAAGTGTTTTAAAATGTTTATTGACATTTTGTAGTAACTCACCACCCAATCAAGTCTCCAAATACATATTTGTATTATTTTAATCAATTTCATTTACAATTTAGTTTTTCCAATATTTAACATCCATCTAATTAAATGTAAAACATGCTTTTTTTTAATATTTAATTAAATCCTTATATTTAATTTAAATATAAATAAGTATCTTATAATATATTTAAAGTTCAAAACATCTAATCCAAATTCACCAGTGTTGCAATTTTATACTCTATATGGTTGTCATAGTCTTAACTAAAATCATACTTAGGGATCCATAATATATAAAAAAAAAGATTTAACTTTTTGACAATATATCATGTTTCAATCAAACAGTTTACCTTAAATCTATTACATATATCTATAACTATAAACCATTAGAGCTATTTTTAAAATCAAAATAGCTTTAACAACTTTTGTTATATATATATATATATATATATATATATATATATATATATATATATATATATATAAAACAAAAGTTGTTAAAGCTATTTTGATTTTAAAAATAGCTCTAATGGTTTATAGTTATAGATATATGTAATAGATTTAAGGTAAACTGTTTGATTGAAACATGATATATTGTCAAAAAGTTAAATCTTTTTTTTTTTATATATTATGGATCTAAGGCAAATTGTTGACTAAAACATGATAAATTTAAGGTTATTTGTTACTTGATTACTGTTTATCAATTTTTTTTAAAAAAAATTGTGGTTGTCTTGACATTTTGGTAGCGGGTAGCTTGATCATCTTTTTAGGTAATTATATGTTTTTTTTAACAGAGTAGAATGAGTTATTACCAAATACCGGAGTGATTAACAAAGTTGTAATTGTAGGCATGGAGTGAAGCAACCAAGATATCCATGGTCGGATGGACCTGAATTTATCACACAATGTCCGATTCAACCAGGAGCAAATTTTAGCCAGAAAATCATTCTTTCTGATGAAGAAGGCACGTTATGGTGGCATGCCCACAGCGACTGGTCTCGAGCCACCGTCCATGGCCTAATTGTTGTATGGCCAAAGATAGGAAGACCTTACCCTTTCCATAAACCCTATGCCGAGTTTCCCATCATCCTAGGTTTTTCTCTCATCTTAATATTAATCTTTTATGGTTTTAAATGTGTGAGTCTTGTTTAATTATAAACTAAAAAATGATAGAAAAACGAATGTAAGGCTAACTGTAATGATATTGAAATATATATAGGTGAATGGTTTCGGTCAGATGTTGAGGCTGTGTTACTAGACTTCATGAGAACTGGAGGGGACCCTAACTCATCTGATGCTTTAACTATCAACGGACAACCCGGTGATCTTTACCCTTGCTCTAGTGCAGGTTGGTTTTCATTTCTTTTGTGTTATCATTAATGTTTTCATCAAGATGATCACCTTTTGTGTTTAAATATATATAAACAATTTTCTTTTTGTTATCTATGTTTTCAGAAACAACAAAGTTCATTGTTGAACAAGGAAAGACATATATGCTCCGAATGGTTAATGCCGCTATGAATCTCTTTATGTTTTGGGCAATTGGAGACCATGAAGTTACTGTTGTAGGAACCGATGGTGCATACACCAAACCACTAAAAAGCGACTACGTGACCATCTCTCCTGGACAAACCATTGATCTCTTGTTCACAGCCAACCAACCAATAGGTCAATACTACATTGCGGCTAAACCCTATAATAGCCAACCAGCAATTAGTTTTGATAACACTACCACCACAGCCATTATCGAGTATAAAGGCTACAAAAAATCTTCAAGGAAACCAATTTTTCCCCATCTTCCTAAGGTTAATAGTACTAGTGCATCTGTTAACTTCACTGGTAGCCTTAGGAGTTTAGCTAGTCGTGCTCATCCTATTGATGTTCCATTGAAGATCACACATAACTTCTTATTCACCATCTCGTTGAACACAGTGCCATGTGCTGATAACACCTGTTTAGGACCTAGGGGTTTGAGGTTTGCAGCAAGTGTAAACAACATAACGTTTCATTTTACCAAATATTTCTATACTTGATGCTTACTATGGACGAATCACTGGTGTTTACGGAGACGACTTCCCAAATTTCCCACCTTTGTTTTTTAACTTCACCGCAAATAATTTAAATAATTCGTTGGAGACTCCATTGAATGCTACAGAGGTGAAAGTACTCGAGTACAACGACACAGTAGAATTAGTGTTTCAAGGAACAAACTTGGTTGGAGGAATTGATCATCCAATGCATTTGCATGGACATAGTTTTTACGTTGTTGGATGGGGATTTGGCAACTTCAATAGGAGTAAGGATACTTTGAGTTATAATCTTGTTGATCCTCCTCTTCAACAAACCATTGCAGTTCCTAAAAATGGTTGGACTGCCATTAGATTCAAGGCTGATAACCCTGGTGAGATTAATTTCTTAAATACTGTATATGAAGCATGAACATTGATCATATAATAATAACTACTTCATTTCGTCCAAAAATCATAATATTAAATTACTCATCAAGTACACATTAGCTTTTTTTGGATACAATATTATTTATGTTTCTATATATTCTTTATGAAGGTAAGGAGTTAACATATCATTTTGATCATCAGTTATAAATTTAACCATGCATGCATCATTCTTCAAAAAAACAGAAAAAAAAATTATATTTTAAAATTAAATGATTATAAAATATATATTTTGGATATATAGATGTTAAAAATCACCGTTACAATTCAGCTTTCCATGTTTAAAACATAGCATTAATAAAATAGTTGAATTAGGTGAAATGACAAAATGTTTGGTTTTCATTTAATTTAATAGACTAAACTCAACCAACTTCTTTAAGTATTAAATAAATGTTATATTGAACTTGTGTAGAGTTGTATAATGTGATAATTCATTAAAATTTATAGGGTTCAAAGAGTTACCATTGCCCTTGGGCTAATTAATCATTTTTTTCTTACAGGAGTATGGTTAATGCATTGTCATCTCGAGCGTCATATAAGTTGGGGAATGGAGGCGGTGTTCATTACAAAGAATGGTAGTAGGGCAGGGGAATCGATGTTGCCACCGCCTCTAAACAGGCCATCCTGCACTTAAAACATCATATATATTAATATGAATAAGTTTTCTTTTTCTCCTTTTCATTTTAGTTATACATTTGCATGTTGACTTCAATTATTGTTTCAATGTGTATATGTAGAAGATAGAATAATAACCGATGGAGGCCTTTGTTCCAATGTTATAAAATCTAAACGAACTTTATGACTTTATGCTCTGAGTTCAAGTTTGTTAAAAAAACATTTGTTAGTGGATTTATTGTGTGTGAAAGGAAAGAAGATAGCTAGTTTAATAATATAGAGATAACATATATCGTTGGTAATAGCTCCAAGATGGAAGATGTATTGTATCTTTTAAATTCTATGAAATATAAAATAATTGAAGGGTTTATTCTTTGCTTTAAAAGATTTGTGAGTATTTAATTTGTTACTTATTTATAAAATTAAAATCAGAATACCCAATTAATGATCTCCAAAATATTTGATTTATATATATATATATATTTATATATATATATATATATATATATATATATAAGATATATATATATAGATATTATATATATATATATTATATATATATATATATATATCCTTTTCCTATATGATCAATTTAATTGGTTCTCAAAATAGTGTTGATTTTATCTCAAAAAAAAATGTTTTGGGACAATTTGCACTAAAGTATTCTTTTAAAGAATTCATTGTTATAAATAAGCATAAAGAATTTTACATTTGGCCGTAAAAAATTTGGTATGTCACAGTTGGTATTAGAACATTAGTTTAAGTGAACTAGGAATTTTGGTAAATTCTAGTTCTAGACTTAAAGTTAGATACTAAGGTAGTGTTTGTTTTTTGTCTGCAGATCTGCGTGGCCTCTTCTGTCTGCGCCGCGCAGACATTAGCCTTCGCAGACTGTTTGTTTTTTTGAAGACTGCAGACCTAAAAATGTATGCGCGCCCTCTTCTTGGCGCAGATGTGCACCAGAGTCTTCTAACATCTTCACACATCTTCTAGCCTAAAAAAACATATATATCTTTATTTTTTTTAAGTTTTTTTTTAATTTATATTTTTTCCAACTTTATTAATGATAAACAATTTGAAAAAAAAATTATAAAACTTAAAAAAAAAACGCTTGGCGATACAAACATGATATTTTTGACAAATTTATAAATAAAGATTTATTACAATAATAGTTGTTGAAGTTGGTTATATAAATATGAAAAAAAAAATCATAATATATTCTTATATTTTTTTGCCAAATTTTGTAAAACATTATTTAATACAGTATCGTCAATTTCTCGAGAAAATATTTATGGTACGTTTTTAATGGATTTAATTGAAAAAATCGAAGTTTATTTCCATCCATTTATGTATCAAATTCTTTGATCACTAATTATAATGTTTAGTTATAACTTTGCAACCAAAGTTGTTGATTTTTATTAAATATATGCGTTAATTCATACCATTTTTATTTTTATTTTTTATACAATAATACATAAAAGTTGATCTAGATTCATTAATTATTTATAACAAAGTCATAAAAATATTAAAAAATCACTTTGAAGTTTAAAAAAATCAGTTTATTTAGATTTCAGTTTATTTTAGTAGCCCGCAGATGTTAAAAAAACAAACAGTCTTCTTTTTTCAGACTGCAGACGTTTGGTCCACCTCTTCTACTGCAGAGGTCTACATATGTGGTCCGCAGACTGCAGAAATTTTGCCTCAGAAAAAACAAACATCACCTAAGTGATGATGATGAGGTGTATGTCTAGCATATTTTTGGTTGTATACCTAAATTGCTATTATATATGTTGGATTAGGTGTCTAATTGAATAACTAAATTGGTATATGCTTGAATTAAAAACAAAGTCCTTTTTGGTTGCCCTCAAAACTAGTAATTAACAGAATGACTTTCGGAGAGACATGTTGATTTATTAGTTTATTATTGTTGGATTAGTGTCTAAGTCCATAACTATAATTGGTATATACTTGACCCGACCCGGCATGGTCCATTTGGGTTGCACGGTATCGGAACATTTGGGTAGACCTTTTGTGAGAAGAGGATATTTGTGACATATTAATATATTATAAGTTCTAATATATTAATATGAAATCATATTATTTAATTAGTATTGATCAACAATTAATTTAGTGATCAAAAGAGACTAATTAAATATATGAGGATTAATTATGTAAATCATTCATTCTTATATATGTGGGCTTATGATCCATGATTCCTTATGTTGGGTTTAACCCATGTGGTGACCAATGGATACTCCATGGAGGTTAAAACCCATGGAGCATAAGGAATGGGTAAAGTCATGAGTTACATGGTGTAACCCTAATAGCCACACTATATAAAGACCCCATTGGTTGGTGAAATTGGCACTAGTGTATACACAAGAGGGCAAGCCGATTTCTAGAGTCCATGTATCTCTTCTCATGGTTATTCCAAATGTTGGTAATGTTGTGTGAACCAATTGAGGTGTCACACTTGGGGCACTAGGCTCTTGAGCTCCATAGAATCAAGCTACATCAAAAAGGTATGCATTCTATCTAGTTTTGTTATACTAGTACTTATGATTGTATGCTAGTTAGGGTAATACCTTGGAAACTTCAAGTTTGCATGTATAATAGAGAAAACATAGATCCAATGTATTTAGGGTTGCATATACACCATAGGAGTGTTAGAATGCTCAAAACCCAACAATGGTATCAGAGCCTAGGGTAGTTTTCAATTATACTTGTTGCAACTCATTTTTCAAAGCCAAGAATCTGCTCAGACATGAAACTCGACGAGTTCATGTGTTAAAGCATGAACTCGACGAGTTTCTTGATGAACTCGACGAGTTTGTCTCCCAGAATGCATATTTTCGAGTTTCTTGGCTGGAATTGGACTAGGAACATTACCATAAGCTGTTTTTGAACCTATAAACATGTTTTGATGTGGTAATGATCATTCTAATCCAATTCAAAAGATAATCGTCAAAAGTTTCATGTTTTGTATTAGTTTAATGATTAGGCTAATTACATGAAAATTGTTTGATTTGAATTGTCTTGTTTATATGAGTTTAAATCAAGATTATGAATATTGCTAGATATGTTTGTGATAGTTGTTTTAATCCAAATTGATCTAACAATTTCTTCATAAATAATGTTTTTGTAACTTGTTCTCCAAGTTATATGAAAAGTCTCATTTATGATTTTATTAAAAAACCATAGGTTATGAACTTGAAACGTCTTTTCCCATAAATTGTTTATGAACTCATAACTTGTCTCAAGTTATGGATGTTCAAGAGTCTCTTCATTAAAAGTTTTAAAACCTATATTAAACTTATATGTTATGAAATTGAAGAGTTTTGAAAAGTTCAAACTTACCCTCAAGTTTTGGAATTTGTAAAGGTTCACACAAAGTACCTTAATTCCAAATCAAACCCTAGAACTTTAAAAGTTTAAAATTCAACCCTTATACTATTATTATAAGTTTAATTATATAGATATGTATAAGAATAAGTTAGTCTTACCGTTAGTAGGCCTCATTCACGAAGTCGGTCTATAAGGGGGGTATAAAGTTACTGCCTATAAAATGGCAGTTTAATGGGTGTCCATTCTCATCCACCGCTTCCTTGACTGGTGGAGGGTCGTTAGCCGAACGGGTAGGACAAGACTATAATTCTCCCTTCATTAAAAGTATAATGATAAATACTAAGTAACTAAACACTTATAAATTCCCAATTCTAGTTACTTAGGGAAATGTGAAATGGTGCTAACCCATGAAATTACACTTTGCAACTTTGTTAAGTCGTTAGTGGAGCGTGTTGTTGGATAAGGTGTCTAAGTCCATAACTATTTCTGGTATGTACTTGACCCGACCCGGCATGGTCCATTTGGGTTCATGGCATCATGCATTTGGATAGACTAAAATGAGAGAAATAACACTTGTGGTTTATTAATATATTATAAGTTCTAATATATTAATAGTATTATTTAATTAGTATTGATCAAGAATTAATTTGGAATTAATTAAGTGATCAAAAGAGGACTAATTAAATATATGGGTTGATTATGTAAATCATCCATAACTTGTATAGTGGGCTAAAAGGCTCCATGGATAATCAAGTTGGGTTAAACCCATTTGATGCTCCATGGAGGCTCCATGGGAGATACAAACCCATAGGTCATGGAAATGAAGAGTCATGCCACATTAGGGTTTACATGGTGTAACCCTAGATGTGACACACTATATAAAGAACATGTTACTCACCAAAATCGGCTACACTAAGAACAAGAGAGGGCAAGCCGATTTTACAAGTGTTATAACATTCTTAAAGTTATTCCAAGCATTTGGTGTTGTGTGTGAAACATTTGAGGCATCACACTTGGGGTGCTAGGCTCTCAAGGTTCTTCAAGGAATCATAACAACTACAAAGGTATGAATTCTAGCCATCTTTATGTTTAAAGTTCCCCATGTATGCTAGATAGGATTATGAACCTGGAAAAAAAGTATTTTGCATGTATTTTAGACAAACATAGATTCAAGGTTTCTAGGGTTGCATGTACACTTAGGAGTGTTAGAATTGCTCAAAACCCATCAGTGGTATCAGAGCCTAGGCTTGTTTGTTGATACTTGATGCAAAATAATGAAAAAGTCGATTTTCTTGCTGTCTGCATGATGAACTCGTCGAGTCCATGGGGGGACTCGCCGAGTGCATGACCAAACTCATCCTACTCGTCGAGTAGGTTCGTGCACTCGACGAGTCGGAGCCTCAGAATGCTGATTTTCGACTTTTTCTGCTGGAAATGGACTAGAAACATTACCCTAAACTGTTTTGGTGTTATTAAACTTGTTTTAGATGGTGTAATGTTTGTTCTAATCCATTTACAATGGCTAATATCAAAATTACATGATTATATGTGTTCATATGTTCTTGAAATTTTGATATGATTAATTCTTGTTCTTATGAGTTCTTGATAGATTATAGGAATTACTTGTTTAATGCTGAATTCATGATCTTTATGTGTTTTAATGGAGTCCATAAC